GCTTCTCCTTATCTCCACAAGTCCTATGTTCATCCCAGGCTCAGGAATTCCGAGAGCCAAAATGACTGCGGCTATGAAAGAGGTGCTATTTCATACTACTTTAAAGGCTTGAAAATTCTAGCCCTGAACACCTGCTCCCGAGAGCATCTTGGCGGGCCTTGCTGTTGCACTCTTAAAGGGGACACCTCATATCCTCTTTTCTCTGCTCTAGAAATAGGGGATTTTATTTTAATTATAAAGTATTTATTTTTAAGATGGACACCATATCTTTATTTATTTTATTTGTTTTTATGTGGTGCTGAGGATCAAACCCAGTGCCTCACATGTGCAAGGCAAGCATTCTACCGCTGAGCTATAACCCCAGCCCCGGATTTTATTCTTTCCTCCAATCCCCAAAGCCCTCCCTGTACCTAGATCCATAAACTAAGGTGATTGTTTTTCCCCCCTTATTACTGTGACTCCAAATCCTGGGTTTTTTTTTTTTTTTTTTTTACCAGGGCAATAAAGGAGGGGGCACTTAACCACTGAGCCACATCCCCAGCCCTTTTGTGTATTTTACTTAGAGACAGGGTCTCACTGAGTTGCTTAGGGCCTCCCTAAATTGCTGAGGCTGGCTTTGAACTCGTGATCCTCCTGCCTCAGCCTCCTGAACTGCTGGGATGGCAGGCGTGCACTGGTAAGCTCTGGCTTTTTTCATAGTGTGATCTACCATTTCTTCTGGGCTTGGGGTTCTGCCCTCACTGCCATCTTGCAGCCTCTGTTACTTCTTATCTTAGGCTGTGCCAGCTCCCAGGCTTCCTTGACAAGACCAACACCTACTTAAACGTTTTCCTACAGCTGATTGTGGAGGAGGCTGCTCAGCACAGTGGCAAGCAGCAGGCGCCTCCCAGTTGGAGAAGCAAGAAACAAGTTCATGCATTCTCTAAACCTACCTTATAAATATAATTAGGATTCAGATGAGATGGACTCCGTTGGCCAGGATTGCTATCGCATCAGACACCTGCTTTGTGAAACAAGCAGAACCCCTATTGTTGGACATGATAATGCACCAACCTAGAGACCTCTGTTCCCTGCTGCCTTGCAGATACGGTGGCCAATGACATGTGGGCAGAATTGTTTCACTGGTTGGAAGAAAATCTCCCTAGAAGCAGCTGACCTAGTTGGGGGGGCTCCTCCTTGGGCTGCTTCCCTCCTTCCCCTTCCTGTGACTATCATGCTGGAGTGACAACTACCACTTGGATCATGCAGTGACCCTGAGGACAGAAGCCCTACGCTAATGCAAGTGGGGGACGGTTAGAAGGATCCTAGGTCCTAGACGACACGGGATTACCTTGTGATCAGCTCACCTCAGTACTTTTTTTCATATGTGAGAAGTGTTACTTCAAAAAACTTTATTTTTTGTCTCTAGGATTGGAGGCTGAATTTAATTCCTAATTGAGACATATAATAAATGCTAGTCAAGCGCTGGGGCCGTGGCTCAGTGGTAGAGCGCTCGCCTAGCGTATCTGAGTACTCGGAACCTCAGCACTACATAAAAATAAAATTTAAAAAAAGATATTGTGTCCACCTATAACTGAAAAATAAATAAAAAATAAATGCTAGTCAAGATTTTTGTTCTCTCTTGGCATCTTTTCTCTATGGGACTGTCTGCTCTTGGGGTCCAGCCATCTCCAGGCTGATGTGTCCCACCAGTTAGTTCTGGTTAAAATAAGAAGGAAACACGCTGCACGGTAGATTCTAGGGGTATGTTGAAGCCATAACTAATGGGGCTTTTCTTTAGTTGGGGACTATAGAAGGAATCTCCCTGCCCAGTATTTGTCAGTATGCTGGCTGGTCTCTGTGACCTGAGAGAATGTGTCCTACTCAAGGACGTCTCCACCTTAACTGCATGCTATGAATCTGCCACTCAGCCTTGCTCTGTTATGATGCTGAGTTGTAGAAGATGAAGTTAGAATGAAAAGCACAAAGAAAAGTTAGTGGTTAGGAAAAAGAGAAGCTTTCATCTCTAAGATTTGGTTATTATTTTTATTTGATTTTATTTTTTGACATTGGGGATTGAACCCAGGGGTGCTTAACCACTGAGTCACATCCTCAGCCCTTTATAATATTTTATTTAGGGATAGAGTCTTCCTGAGTTGCTTAGGGCCTCACTAAGTTGCTGAGGCTGGCTTTCAATTTGCAATCCTCCTGCCCTGGTCTCCAGAGCTGCTGGGACCACAGGCATGCGCCACCACACCCGGCTGATTTTGTCATTCTTACTGAAAATATTTTTTAAAACCACATTCTTATAAACAATTACAATTTCAATCTTCCATTTAATAATGTTTTGTAAGGAAAATAAAGAGAAGAAGAAGAATATCTAGAAATGCAGGAAATTCACTTAATTTTTAGGCTAGAAAACTGTATGAAGCAAGTTCAATTCTATACAAATTTTTTGAATTGGTATTGTTTCGTTTACTTAAAAAGGGATATGGATCAAAACAGTGCAATTATGAATGTATCAATTCTTTTTATAATCACAGAAATTAAGTTAAAAAATTTTTCCTTTGGAAAGATGCATAATTCACCCCTTTTTTCTTAGAAAACAAATAGTCAGCAAGTATCTTACCTTCAAATAAACTTTTGTTCTGAATATCGGTATTCATCAATTACAATGAAATGAATGTAGGAGATATTCTTTCCTCCTATCTTATATAGCTTTTTCAATTAAATTTAGAAATGGTTTTTAAATTACCATTGCTGAGTGAACAATTTAACATATTAATGTGTATATGATTATTTATTTTGATTTAATCAGTCTTGAAATTTGTAAAAATCAGTTCCAATTGTAACCATGGGACAATTCTTGTATGTGGTTCACAGGCTAGAATTTATACATCGCTAGGATTAAGCTAAGGAGCTAATATTACATCTGTTGATCTAACTGACCCTCTGAAGAAATGCTTTTTATTGCTTATAAGATGAAAGAGAAAAGCACAGTATTTTTAAACATTATTTTGTTAATCTTAAATGCAAGACATATGTGTATTAAATTCTTTTTTTTTTCTTTTTACCAGGGATTCAACCCAGCAGTGGTCACCACTGAGCAACATCCCCAGCCCAGTTTTTATTTTTTATTTAGAGACAGGATCTCACTAAGTTGCTTATAGCCTCACTAAATCGAGGAGGCTGGCTTTGAACTTACAACCCTCCTGCCTCAGCCTCCGGAGCCATCAAGTGTGGGCCACCATGTGTATTAAATTCTTACTGATCTACAGGATCTTTCTAAACTTGTTGAATACTTATAAATCCTGTTCTTCTGACACCTGTCATTATTAAACATGTTCCTGCTACTATTTATAATTTTAGGGGTTTCATCTAAGTCAGAGTAATACAGTGATTACTCTTACCTGATTTTTACACTGGAAAAGATGTTGCTTACTGTTCATAATAGAAGCATATCATTCATTCATTAAATCTTTCAACACAGACAAAAGAAATTACCTCTGTGAAGAATAGCTTCTTGCGAAAGTCACTTATTGATAAGACCAAAAGACAATGATGATGATGCCATGTGAATTGAGAAATACAGTTATCTGAGCCCTCTGCACCAACTGAAGTCCATCCATAAATAAACAAAAAGCCTTTGATCATCTTAAACAGGTCAACACTGTACAACTCGGACATTAAAATCATGTTATCTTAAAGCACTTTGGTTTAGGAATTTACCTTCTTAAAATATCATTTCAAAAAGAGCTCAAAGCATGTTTGGAGTTCATAAAAAGACCAATTATGTGAATTGCTATCTCAGGAGCACGACATGCTATTTAGAAAAGAAAATAAGACAAAAAAAAAAAAAAGCAAAACGAAATACCAGATGCCTACAAACAACAGTCCCCAAGAGGGCTAGAAGGAAAACCTAATTTTGATAGCAGACAAGATGGTATCAAGGCAATGCCAAAATGCAGATCAAAATGCAAAAACAAAAAACGAGGCAGGCAATTGGTGGTTTCGGTTATACAGATATGAATAACCAATTAGATGGTCCTCACTAATACACAGGAACACTTGTGGTCATTGTAGGTCACAGAAACGTGGCCATAAGAGAAGCTGCTTTGGACTATGTGTTGTAGCTGTTAAAAGGAAACCCCAGAATTCATGGTGAGTGACTTCTGATTATGAAAAAGCCAAGTATTAACTGAATTCAGTATAAATTTTTTATTTGTTCTTTTTAATTCTACATGACAGTAGGATAGATTTTGACATATTATACACACATGGAGCATATTTGTAAAATATGCTTCATTTTTGTGGTTGTACATGATGTGGAATTCACTGGTTGTGTATCCTATACTAACTTAGGAAAGTGACGTCCAGTTCACTCCACCGTCTTTGCCATTCCCATCCCACTGAATTCAGTACAAAATTTTGATGTTTTCCCCACAATGAGAATTTCAGGGCTGAGGGTGCGGCTCAGTTGTAGAGCATCTGCCTATTACCAAGTGCAAGGCCCTGGGTTCAATCTCCAGCACTGGAGGGAAAAATTAGAGAATTTCAGCAGTGATTTTTCCAGTGGGAAACCATGTCTTATCACTCCAGTAAATTCAGAATATGCACTAACATGCACAAAAGATGAAATTAACATCTATTCAACATAGACCTTTTTCAGAGCTGATCTAAATTGATGGTTCATACAATCAAAATAAAGGAATAAACAGACACAATTTTCTTAAAGCACCCACTTATGTTGACATAATTTCCGTTGTTAGAGCTGTGGAAGTCGGAAGAGGCCTCTGCTACCTCTGCTATATCAAGGGTGCATATGGGTACCAAAGTCCTTCCCAGGGGGAGGAATCAGAGTATTGGGACAGGAGTCATATATAGATTTTTTACATATTTATGAAAACAAGTTTCCTGAGGAGTTCAATTAGGCAATGTTGTTAGCATAGTTTGCACAAAATGACCCAAAAATGCTGTAAAACTTACATATCTTTAAAATATTTTAAAGTCAGACTTTGTTCTTATTGGCTATCCAATTAGAGCAGATTAATGACTTTTTTTTTTACAAGTAATAATCTGAAACATAAAATTAAGTTTGAGGTTAAGAGCAATTCTTGGAATTGTTAAGGATACACATTGATTGAATAGTAATAAAGAGATGCAGGGTGCTAGGATTAATGGCTTGAATACTTTACCAGAAGAACCTCTTTTTAAAAAGTGCCTCACACACTGTGCAATTATAGAGGTCAGTACATTTCTCAGATATACACTCAATTACATGTTGCTGAAGTTTGTATCTTCTGGAATCTGAAGTTATTTAAAATGCCAAATTTTGAGAAGTGTTTTTATCATCTCATAAGATTTTGCTTCATCCAAGTGAGATTCCAGGATCCGTTATACTTCTCAGAACTTCTCAGTTCATTATTTGATAGGGTTCAATCAAGGTTAGAGGACTGAGTGCCTAGCAAAGATCTTAGATGCCTAAAGAGAGCAAAAAGCAAATTGAATCTCTTCTAAGAATCCAACGGGTTCATGAGAAACAAACTTGAAGTAACAACGCTAAGCAGAAAAATAGACAAGTTGTGTGATGATCTGGAAAACAGCAATGTTGGCATAAATATCTGAGAATCACCATGGACCATAAGTTGATTATGAATATGCAAAACAGCAACGAAAACAAAAAGTCACATAGGATGTGCTAATGAGAGGATGACAGACAAATCTATTAAGTTATAACCCACAAAGAAGACTGTCTTTTATCAAGGCACTGCATGGTCCCAGGACACATGACTTCAGGGCTCAAACAAACCAGACACTGATGCCTCATTGTATAGAGACCTCGCTGGCTTGGAACCCAGCCTTTAAAATTATCTGCATAAGGTTGGGCAAGGTGGTGCACACCTGTATTCCCTGGGGCTCAGGAGGCTGAGGCAGGAGGATCATGAGTTCAAAGCCAGCCTCAGCAACTCAGCAAGACCCTGCCTCTAAATAAAATATAAAAAAGGGCTGGGGATGTGGCTCAGTGTTTAAGCGCCCTGGGTTCCATCCCTGGTACCAAAAGTAAAAATAAAAATCTGCATAGCTCTAAAGGCAAGAAATTTGTTAAAGGAACCCTAAAAGTCAGGTGTGGAGGAGTTTCACTTTGCATTAAGGCAGCCTTTCAAACACAGACCCCAAATTCAACAGCAAAAGTTTGGTTACCCTCAAATCTCCTTTCAGTTTACACGCTGTTAGCAAAATAAATAAAGTTTTCATTCTTGGTTTCTTTCCTGGAATAAAATATCAAATGTCCTAGGAGAGCTGAGGCCTCTCAATTTGCTAGATGGCTTTTCAAAGGTCAGAATGAGAACACTAAGGATTAGATGAAGATGATTTTACGTGATGAGGGAATGGCCAATGAGCCCTTCTCCATTTTCCACCATTGCTTTCAGCAACAGGTTGTCCATAAATACCGCGTAGAATGTCATCTCCGATGGACTGATAGTGACCTCGTGGAGAACTGTGTTAGGGACAAGAGGTTGGTCCCAGCTCGGCAGGAAGGCAGGCTGTGCTCGATGAGTAACACCAGCCTCAGGTACAACTATATCCTGTTCCTAATCTGTTTGTTTCAAATAACCTCAACGATCTCGATCTCGGAGAAGAAGAAGGGTGACAGAGGTCCCCACCTGCACATATTCCCTGCCCGTAGATCACAGATAAGGGAAAGAGCTTTAGGGGAATGCTCCAAGTAGAGGTGACTTTAGCTGAGAAGCAAAGTGCGGGTTTGGTTCTTTCTCTGGAGATTCTGAGAAGTCCCCAAGGGTCATTTGGATGTGGCCAAGTCAAGTCTACAAGTCACCTGGCGACACCTCATCAGGACCATGGACTCTCTCACTGCATCTTCTTGGCAGGTAGAAATGTGCTTTCCAACCCTTGGGACAGTGGAGACATTGAAGCGCTTGCTTGCTTTGTTTGATGTCTTTTCCATGACATAAGTGTCCTGGAGGACAGTTCCTGTTGAACGCCATTGACCTATCAGAGGACTTGAATAATGACAGGACACTGTCCAAAGTGGTTAGGTAATAAGGTGACTCAGAAGGAAACCAGAGATAAAGCCGCTTCCTGACGAAAACCCTGAGGACAGGTGAGGAGGACCTAGCAAGGGTGGCCAGAGTGAGGGCAGCTGCAAGCCGGCTGCCAGGAGGGGTGCCCACCCATCAGAAGCCGAGGTGTCACAGGACTCCTCCAGCCTGGGAGCAGGGCTGGACAGCAGCCAGCCTTTCTCAGCACATTTCAATCGTTCTTTCTTCCAAGTCCAGGTGCTGCCATCGTCAGAGGAGTGGGTGGTAGAAGGAACAGCCGAAGGTTCTTGCATCTACATAGATTTGAAATTCATTAAGTTCATCTTCCTCCTCGGTGGGCAGGACAGGAGGGCTTCCTCAGTGGCCACTCCTCTTGGACAACATCAGCACCTTTCAGGTTTAGGATTCATTGTCACTGTTAAAATGAAACAAAATAAAACAGAACTGTAGTATATTTTTAAGAAGCAACATGAAGGTGCAGAAGTAACTCAAGAGAGCATTAACACCAGGCAGGGTGGTGCACCCCTGTAATCCCAGTGGCTGGGGAGGCAGAGGCAGGAGGATCGTGAGTTCAAAGCCAGCCTCAGCAACTTAGCAAGGCCCTAAGCAACTAAGACCCTATTTCAAAATAAAATACCAAAAAAGGTTGGGGATGTGGCTCAGTGGTTAAGCACCCTTGAGTTAAAACCCCCAGTACCAAAACAAAACAAAACAAAAAACACTGACATTCAGGTAGCCAACATTGTCCAGCTTACCATTTCTGAAACAAAGGTCAGTTTGAATTTTGTATTTGATCCCTGAGGAGGAAATCCATGAATGCCAAGAAATAATCCCAGCTCTCGTTCTAATATCCCTCCACAGCACTTAAGCAGAGAGAACCAGATGGAGTTGGGGTTCCCCCCTTTAATTAAATCTAATCCTATTTTTCTATGACTAGATGCCAAAATAGCATTTTTTTTCTCTTTAAATTCCATGTGTTGTTTTCCCTCAAGAGTTTGTGGCCCTGGCAGGTTTTCAATAGCCCGTTTTGTTCACACCCACAGAGGACCTGGAGGTGTCCATTCAGCATCATTTAGAATTCAATCACCGGGCATCTTAGGGTGTGAGTAGACATAAATTATAGAGTTGGTATTTGAACCTGACGGTGTTATTGGCTAATCTGTGCTTTTGTTTCAAACTTGACTATCTCTGCCAAATATCTGGCTTCTCAGCTTTTTCCCATCGGGTTCCCAGGGGGACTGCACCTCCACACAAGTCTCCCAGAAAGCAAACTGCAGTAGCTTCCTCCCCACTTTTTTTTTTAGTTTTGTACCCCTTCACTCAAATTCTAGCATGTCTCTATTTGAAGTCAACTCTGTCTCCAAGAAAGTACTTGAGCAATAATTATCAACAGAGCTGGTGTCCCCCGAGCTCACAGGTGTGTTTGGCCTGCAATGAATGATATTGTTCCGACTCCCACTTCAGTGATCTCAGTAAAACACAGAGTGGTAGCCAGGCATGGTGACATAGCTGTGGTCTCAGGTACTCAGGAGGCTCACTTGAGCCAAGGAATTTAACACCAGTCTAGGCAACGTAATGAGACCCCATCACCAATTTAAAAAAAAAAAAAAGTTTCCAAAAAGGACTTTAAAACAACCAGATCAATTGATGAATCTGATCCTCAGCACCCTTCTCCACTCGAAAACAAATTGTTGTTTTTTCTTTTTAATCTGAAGACCAACCCTTTCTTATTTTCTTTACTGTGGTTTTCAAAGTACAGTAAGTCACTCTGAACAACTCTTCAATAGGGAAAAGAGGTTTCATTTCTTGGAAACTGGGTGGTAGCAGGATAGTATTTCTAAGATGCAGGAGTGCATCACTGCAGAGCAGAAGTTCCTGAATTCTGGGGCCTTATCTTGACATTTCAGCCACTCTAAGCAGAGTTTAGTACAAAGCTGGAGAGCAACGGGTAAAGCCATCTTTTGTCCACATCTCTGATCTCTGTCCAGCTGTTACAATCAAAGTGATTTTTTAATTTAATTATTATAAAACCAGTCCATATTCATTGTTGAAAAATAGAAAATACAAGAAGCAAAATAAAAATCCCAACCATGTCATGATAGCTAATACTTGGTATTTATTCTTCCAAAGAGTGATAACATATGTAACAGACATATGTATATATGTATATACATAGTCCTTTCAGATACAAAGTTAGGATCATGTTATTCATATTGTTCTGTAATCTGCTTTTCCTACTCTCATTCACATAAAAATATCTTTGCTTGCTAATCCAACACCTGGGGCTAGAGGTATATGGCTCAGTGGTAAAGTGCTTATCTAGCGTGTGTAAAGCCTGGGTCTTGACCCCCAACATCACATTCCATAGTCCTACAACATCCACCCTCACCCCAACATTTTTTTTTTGACATTTCTTTAGTGTTAAACTTTTAGGCTATTTTCAATTTTTATTGAAACTACACTCCCAAATACACCTTTTTAATATTTATTTTTTAATTGTAGGTACAATAAAATTGTACCATACCCTTATTTTATTTTTATGTGGTGCTGAGGATCAAACCCAGTGCCTCGTGCATGCTAGGCAAGCGCTCTACCTCTGAGCCACAACTCCAGCCCCCCAAATACACTTCTAATTATTGCCTTTGCATAAATCTCTAGAGAGGAACTGCAGGTTAAGGTATGTGCAGTATTTAAGATTTTTATGGCCTTTGTCAGATTATCTCCCTTCCCTAGAAATTGTGTAAAATTTATATTCTCCCAACACTTCTCTTTAGGGAAATGTCCTTTGCCCCCATCCTCTCCAACACTAGATATTATTATTTTCATTTCCTTAAGTCTAATACATGAAATTGGTACTATATCTTCCTTTTCATTACTTTCATTTACTATTTTATTACTAAGAACAATAAATATGTTTTCCATTAGTTGGTAATTTCAATTTCTTTTGCTCACTTGCTTATCAATAGTCTTTGCTCATATTTAAAATAGGACTATTATCTTTTTATTGGTTTGGGTATTAAGAATAATAATTTTTGTTCATATAGACTGCAAAAAGTTTATATTTTGTTCTTATTTTATTTACTATGGTTTTCAAAGTACAGAAATTTTGAGTTTTTAATGCAGCTAAATCTATTCTTTCCTAAGATAGCTTTCAACTTACCTGTCATTCTTTCAAACTAAGCCCATCCTTTAAGTTATATAAAATTGACCTATTTTTTTTTTCTGGATTTTTTTCCCCTTTTTAACATTTACACTTATCTGTAATTTTAGCATAACATGTAAGGTAGAGTTCTAAGTTTTCCCCCCAAGGTTAGCCATCTCCAGACTACTTATTGTACAATCCACTCACCGTGAAATGTTATCTTTATGATATATTAAGTGTTTACATATACTTAAGGGGCTGTTCTGAATTTTCTATTCTATTTCATTAATAATTCTGATTTGGTTCCAGGTAGACACTGTCTTATTTATTGCCATGTTCCTGATGAACCTCCCTGACACTTCCTACTCCATCTCACGATTGCGCTTTTTTTCTTCTTTTTAGAATCATCTGGCTACTTGCGGGCAGGTATTCTTCTACATAGGTGCACTGGGATTTTTAAGAGATGAGTTGAATTTAAAATGATAATTTTCATATGGTTGTCTTTCATTCAGGGACACAGTATGCCTCTCCATTCATTCAAATTTCCTATGTCCCTCAGTAAAAATTTAAGGGCTGGGGGTGAAGCTCAGGGGCAGAACATGTGCTTAGCATGCACAAGGCCCAGGGTTCCATCGGCAGCATAAATAAATAAGTAAATACTTATTTTTTTTTATATTACCCCATGCATTCTGTTACTGTTGTTGTTATCTCTGGGTGGTTCATAAAGTGTGTGGCTTTCGTGATAGTTTTAACGTTGGAATGTGCTAATAGGTGGCTTTTTAATGAGAGCACAGGGTCAGACGGCCATGAGATCAGTCACATCGTGCTGTGTGACTTACCCTTAGTTTTCTTGTTTCATCTCATCTGCAAAATAAAACAAGACAAAACAAAATCTAATAATACCATGCACCCCATAGTGTTGTTAGGATGAATAATGAGGGGTGGGGCGTGGCTGAGTGGTACAGCGCTTGTTCAGCACAATCTAGGGCCCTGGGTTCAACCCTCCGCACGGCACACACATACGCAGAGAATAAATGAGGAAACGCCGACCTGACACCCAGCCACATGGACTTGTGCTGGTTATTCTTATTTTACATGTCTTACACTAGCAAATGTTTGTAAAGCATTAGCTTATCAAAGGCCTTAAGAAACCATCTTCCAAAACATACTTTAGATTTCTAAGGAGAAGCACTTCCTGTGACACTGCCGTTTACTAGGGTGCTTACTGCTGCAGCTCTGTGGACCATGATCAGAGGGACACTGCCCCAAATGGGTACAGGTTGCTTCATCATGGGACATCAGGTCACTCCCAGAGTGTAGCAACTCTCTCTGGTGGCACGATGGCCATCATCAGGATTGCTAGTGGGCAGCAGCCTGGAATGTGACCCAGCACCTGAGCCTAGAGACATATTCTCTCTCTCTCTCTCTCTCTCTCTCTCTCTCTCCTTTATTTAGTTAGAGGTGTTCCCCTGCTGTCTTTGTGGTTATTTATTGTCATTTTTAACGCCAGCAGATTCTAGAGTCCCCTGTTAAAATTATCTTGGCAAACCGCCACACAATTGCAACAAATAAAATAAGCCATCCTACTTAAAACCCATGCGACTTGCCTCCATGCTAATGCAGAGTGGTTTTAGCAACTTACCTATGACAGTGACATTAATGAGTAATTTGTGTAAGAGTGTTATATAGATATTTTAGGAACATGGAACACCTTTTTCCAAAAGCCTATACAGTAATAGGCTGACAAACTGTAATAACAAATTGAGTTGATTAGGAAGTATTGCCGTGTTACCTTTAGGAAGACATTAAATTGGCAAGCGACCAGTTAAATGAGATCCAACTCAAATACCTTGAGTCATAACTGCTCCTTTGTGGCAGTCAGGATCAGATAAGTCATCTTTGTTCTCCTGACCAGTCTATCTTGTAACAGTCCTTCTTTATGACCACAGCTAATGCACCCCATCTCCAAAGACGCCAATAAGCCTCCACTGAACCTTTCTCCTGCTATGAGGCTGACTCGGATTTTGTAGAGTGCACAGTTCACTTTGGCACAAAGTCACATAACAATTAGATCAGGCTCCCTTTCTCATCATCACTATAATGTCCCTTCTCTTTCCCACAAGAGGCCTGGCTGGGGGCAGTTAGAGATTGTGCTTCTGGCTACCCTTGGAGCCAGGCTTAGAATCAGTCTAGGACATAGAGATCATGCCCACAGCATAGACATAATCTGGGCTGCTATTCAAGCAATGCTGTGGTTTTCAAACTTTAGTACA